TGAATAAAGTATCTTTAAACGCGATTTTAAAAAATCGAGTCAGACGGATTTCGATAATTTCTTCACCATTCGATTCAGCACAATTTTCTGCGTCGAATGGTTTTTCAAACGTTGAATTCTGATAGAGAACACCATTTCGCTCCGAAATGGGGGGGGGGGGCCCAAGAACCTTGAGCCACCAGAAATATTTTTAAAACTTAAAGCATTTTTTCTTCGGGCCACCCTGTAGTGTCGTCTCATGAGTTTTTGCAGCCCCTGCGGACCGAAATCCTTGGGATGAATCCAAAAATTCACAGCGGCTCCCTTCAGCACCCTTTTACAGGCACTTGGGATCCCATTTCGACCGGCGGAGCCCACCATTGTGGCCAAAATGAGCCGGAACTGGGTTTGCCAATTCTACAGCCGAAGTTAGTTTTGGGAAGCGGTGACCATATGGGGCAGACAACGGATAGGTTACCGGATGACCCAAAATGGACGCTTCCGAATGTCCAGTGAAAAAAGGACGATATCTGCAAGCGAAGTATGCCAGATCGAGTGCGATTGTGCACGCGCACAGGGAACACACAGCGATCTTCTTTTTTGAATTTTAAACATCAAAATTTTGAACGGAGAAATTGCACCCGGGGTTTTCGGGGGCAAAAAAGACACAGAAAGAACAGCTTTGACACCAGGAATGCCACCTATAGCAACTTTAACTTTTTCACAAAATCCGTTTGTAAAAAAAAATCCGTTTGCACTTACAGAACAAATGAAGTTTGTTTAATCATACAAGTTGTAATAAAGAAGTGTGGGTGCTTTGTAGAGTTATTTGTTAGTAGAGGGTTGTTCTTTTGAGTCATAAAATCATCGGAATAGAGCCCAGAAAATTGCTTCTAGGAATAACCCTGGTTGTAGCTTCATAAATGTAGTGTTGAGGTTGTAGTGTTGTTGAGTGCATGAACTAAAATTCTCGACTGATGTGCACTGAAAAGATTTAAAGAAATATATTTGAAGGAATTGTCTTTTCTTAGCTTCAAACTATTTTTGAAGCGAAATCATTTTCGAATTCGGTTGAGCGAACGACAGGATTTCTGTTCTGGTTGTTAAGTGCTCTTATATTAACTGCATGTTACAGTTCTTTTGTTTCTTTTTTTGCGCAATGAGAAACAAAAACGTTTGATTATCTATCAAGAATGTAATGAGTAGAAAAGCGTTGCACGTCGTTTGATCCATCTGACTCGGTGGTGGCTTGTTCCCATTTGCTGCGCCGTCAATCTTTACAGTCTATTTTTTCTGCACGCCTCATTTATATATATATAGACATAGATACTTTATTCAGGACCTGAGATAAAGTGCGCTAGATTTAAGATACATATAATACACACGAATTGATACACATAACACGAAAAGGGTCGAGACGATATAATATATGTAATATATGGGTAGCACAGATAACGTCAAAGATCCACTAGAACTTCAAGATCAAGATCATCTACAGATAATTGAAAGGTTTCGAGACTATTGGACGCTCTCAAAACTCTGGGGGAATCGATTTAAAATTCTGGCAGTTCTTATTGGAAAAGAGTTATACACAAACTTATTGGAGGTGCCTGGAATTTCTAAAACGAAAGAACCTCTCCTTGAACTAACCGTGGGATTAACTTTGAACAAATCTCGAAAAAGAGGGATAGGTTGTCTGCCCTTTACAATTTTGAAACATTCTGTTAAATCCGTGACCAAGCGGCGGTGTCTAAGAGATTTAAGAGCAAAAATTTTGAGTCTATCTGTGTAACTAAAGTTTGCAAATTTGGAAAATTGGTCTACGGTTCGTTTCCCATTAGGCTACCCAATCTTCCTAGAACCGAGCCCTTCTTCTGTACAATGTTCCGTTTGAGGAACTCTTCATCACCTCTACGATCACCATTTCCATAGTTAGCCTTTCACAATTTTCCTTTCGTAATTAAGAAAAACGGCTGAATAGGGCTTGACTCAAGATTTTTATCTCGGTTTATGTACGCCATTCAAGGTGAAAAAACTGCTGAATCGTGACTGAATACGGCTTAGAGAACATATATTATCGCCACATGAAAAGATCTTAAGTGCTCAGTAATTAATCAAGTAAGAATGCAAGAGAATTACTGCTTTCAGAGACCTTTATTTTTTTATCGCGAGATGAAAAAAAGAAGATGAAAAAACGAGATCTCATCGAATAAAATGGCTACAGAAAATTAGCTTTGAAACACAAAACTGATCGAGAAAAAACTGTTCTCTACTTTTGTGTTGCAAAAAGAGTGATACTCTGTTTACGGTCAAAAACAGGATTCACTTAGAAACTGTGCTGAAACAGAAATTCTTGTTCTCTTTACTGTACTTGACCGTAGCAAACTTTTGGAAGCGTTTCACCAGTTTCAAAAAAAGACAATTAATCACTATGTGTGAGCAGAGTTGTCCCACGATTCAAAATGCCTTTCATGGTTGTACGTAGTTCTTCTGTTATTCTGTTTTAAAATGTACATTTTATTACATTTTTGTAGCATCAAAACATATTGTCCGCTTCCATCTTTACAGTTATCGCCAAACATACTAGCCATCGCCTCCATCACCACCATCACCGAAAACACTCCATCCTCCGTTCCCTCCACCACCACCACCGCTGCCATCGCCTCCATTACCGCCATCACCGAAAACACTCCATCCTCCGTTCCCTCCGTTGCCACCGTTGCTGCCATCACCTCCATTACCGCCATCACCGAAAACACTCCATCCTCCATCTCCACCATCCCCACTACCGCCCATAGCTGCTAAAACTTTGGGAAAGTGTTTTTTAAAAAGCAGTTCACAGCTCACAAAATAGATACGGTTGAAACGATACCGATAAATATAAAACAAGAATGACGTGCAAATGGCTTTATTTTGCATTAAAAATTGTCTTAAAAACACATTTTTCTTGTTAGAGTCTTGGGAAATCGTTTTGACTTCTTGTTGGTTGCTGAAATGAATGGTTGGTCATTGAAATTGAAAGCAGAATTGTTTCGAACCTGGTTTTCAAAAGGCGAACCCAGTCCATGAGATCCATCTGCACCATCTCTCTTCCCCCCATAGCCACCTTTGCCTCCATCACCGCCGCCACGAAAGCCATCACCACCATTGCCTCCATTACCACCATTACCAAAAATACCCCAGCCTCGACGTCCCCCGTTGCCACCTTTGCCAAACAGGCTGCTCCCACCGTTGCCACCATTTCCCCCATCGCCCATCCAAGCTAAGCTTCATTATACGACAAAGTTCAAGTCCAGCACAAAGCCGTGTTGTCAAACATAACTACTAAAACCCACCGTCCCTAGTCATGAATCTCGATATCCACTGCATCATTCCAGCATTTCCACCATCACCACCATTTCCCCCCACTCCATTCATTCCACTACCATCCCCTCCATTTCCCCCATCACCGCCACTCCACAGTCCACTCCCTCCACGACCACCATTTCCACCGGTACCGTAAGCTGCACTTGTATCACCTCCGCACCGTCCAGCACCACCGACGAATCCTGAATGTTAAACTTAAAAAGTCCTAGATGCAATGTTTTCTTGACTTTTTGAAGATCATTTTTAGACCAACCACTTGCTCCGCTTTGTCCATGTGCGCCATTAATGCTAGACGTGTCAACAGCCTGAATTATTTAGTTTTATTGCAATTTGTTTGAAAGCCGTACACTAGTTGACTTCAGAAACAGATTCAAATGCGTGATTGATCAAAAAAGTTCAAATTAATACTAGCGTTGATAAGAAAATTAGATAAAAATATTTCTCTTTGGCACAATAGTATGACGACATAAAATTAGTTTGCGCAATCAATTAAATGACCTTCGTTCCGAAGTGAAAGTGGTATCTCGCATTGGCTCAATAATATGACAACAGAAATTACATCGAGATATATGTATTAAAATTGTTGAGCCAAAGAAAACATAAAAATAAATGTGACATTTGATCTTAGCCAAAGCGGATAAAACCGTCAAAAACCGCCAAGAGAAGTTTGTTCGGCAACCCATTTTAAGTGGGTTGAGATATGTGAGGAAGAATTTGGATTTGATATATCAGTTCATCTGGACTTTAAGTAGATGTGTATTCCAGGGGCCTTTGGGTTCCGACCTTTTGTCCGTTCAGGTGCCTGCGGCAAAATCCAATCCACGTAAAACTGTAGAATCAGTGCCTTAAAAGGACCATTCCAAGCCCCATCTGCACATTGAACAAACTTTGTAGTGCATCCTGGAACAAAAAACAATCCAATTGAAGCTGATTGAGATTTTCCCTCGTTGATTCGTTTTGATGAGACGCAAAACGATCCCCCAATAATCAAAGAACAATCAGTTTTTGATGTATAAAAAGCCTAAGTCCTTTGAACGATCTTTCCAAGTATTTGCTTGTTATCTCCATTTAACCATTTGCCTTTTTTCCAGCAAAGCACTAGACGATTTTGATATTTCATCGCTTTTTTACCAACTCTGATCCTATCCATCAAGAGAACGGTTTTATTGTTTACAAAAGTGTGAAATGCGAAAATATAGGTAGAGAAGGGAAGAGAGGTACAAAATATTCAGCCAAAAGCAGAAAACACAAAAATAGTTTGAAGCTAAGAAAAGACAATTCCTTCAAATATATTTCTTCGAATCTTTTCAGTTCACATTACTAAAGAATTTTAAATGGAGGAGATGACCTGAACAGTTTTGACTACCAAGATTTCTCTTGCTGAACCAAAGCAAATCTGTTCATTCATTCAAACTGTAAATTTTTACAACTAGTGATTGCCTGTAGAGTTATGGGTAGTAGCGTAGTTCACAATTTTCTTTTGCAAGAAAATTTCGTTGCACAATCAATTTTTTTGCCGCTTTCCCAAGACGTGGCTTTATCACTTTTGTTTTTTCCTATTTTTCAGATAAGGTATACGTGCGTATTTTTGAATGAATATTGTTCAAATTTCAAGAAAACTTCTTTTAGTTATTTCACTTCTTGTTTCTTTTGAAATGTCTAACATTAATGGTGTACATGGACAAAACGGTGCGAGTGGTTGGTTTTTCTATTGGAAGACTCATGTTTGTATGAAAGTTTTAGGATTGGTCGGTGGTGCTGGACAGTGCGGAGGTGATACAAATGAAGCTTACGGTATCGGTGGAAATGGTGGTCGTGGAGGGAGTGGACTGTGGAGTGGCGGTGATGGGGGAAATGGAGGGGATGCTAGTGGAATGAATGGAGTGGGGGGAAATGGTGGTGATGGTGGAAATGCTGGAATGATGCAGTGGATATCGAGATTCATGACTAGGGACGGTGGGTTTTAGTAGTTATGTTTGACAACACGGCTTTGTGCTGGACTTGAACTTTGTCGTATAATGAAGCTTAGCTTGGACGGGCGACGGGGGAAATGGTGGCAACGGTGGAAGCAGCATGTTTGGCAAAGGCGGCAACGGGGGACGTGGAGGCTGGGGTATTTTTG